TGCCAAATCACAAAATCTCATTTTCACAGATGGCCTTAAAACAATGAAAGGTTCCTCTGTCAATATTATCACGGTATGTATGTACAGTATGACATAATCATACCGTCCTACCGTAACTCGTAACTTCACACGGACTGAAAGAGCATTAGATGGTGAATTGAAGGAAAACAGTAGAAATGCAAACTAGGCCTCTTTGTGTGAGATTTACTAAGAATGAACTCTATTTTCAAAAGTTGGTTTTAATGTACCACTCCTGTCCACAAACAACATTCACAAAACTCTTTCGACTTTTTAGCAATCCACAAAAGTTGCATGATTGCACTTACATACTTTTTGTTTAGTGACAGCAAAGGGGACAGTATTATACATAGCATGCCTAGAGCTGGAGGGCTGCCAAGAGTGTGTGCCTGAGACCCAGCTGACAGGCCACCTCGTGACAGCCAACCAATGTTGTACTCATTAGATCGTCTGTCTAAACTGGCAGGGGATAGCTACACATGTATGAATGCATTATACTATGTACATGTATAGGTATTGGTTATAAAGTCTATGAATGTCCACCTGAGCCAGGGTAATGAAAGGACAACTACATGAAACTCAATGGTGCCCCATGTTATTGTACAGCAGCAGCAACACATGTGTAGTTTGCACCTCGTGTACAGCAACATCAGAGTCCCTCCCTATACAGAGTGCCAGCAACTTTCCCTCTAACTGCTACTTGCATGAGGACTTGTTGGATATCCATAGGCAACCGACATGTACTGTATGAAGCTAGGTACTGGGGAGTTTTATGAGCATATATGTACTATCCTGTGTGACGTAAGGTGGGTTGATCATACATGTCGGTTGTTAGGGATATCCAACAAATATATTGCAGTGCCCAGACAGGACAGCATGAGCCCTTACAGGGCTCATGCTGTCCTGTCTGGGCATGCAACATATACATACTACATACTACATTATACTACATACACAATGGTATGTGTGGTAGGATTGGTTATACTGAAATGGTGTTCACGCGCTTGCTCACAGCTATCAAGGCTCTACAACAACATCATGAAACATTATACAACGCTTGAGGGCGGAGCATAGTGCGTATCACATGCCTATGATTTGGAATTTCAGTTTCAGAAGTGTTAGAAAGTTGGAAATTGCATTATTAGTACACAGGTGACGAGAGCAAATTGTGTTAGCTGGAGAAACTTCTTGCCTTGCAACTTGACTGCTACATTATCCGGAAAAGTAGCATCATTACAAGATTTTCAATAGCTACTGAATTGTGAAAGTTTTAAACCTTGAGCTATACATAGTTAGCTGGTATTTTTTGGGTATCGGAAAATTCAGCTGGCTCAAAACACACTTCAGCAGAAAGTACAAATAATGCAGTTGCATAGTATGGTCCACACTTTCAATGTTACACTTATAGTTTCATTCCTATTCAACAGGTGCCGTGTCTCTGACAATGCTATGCACACTGAAATAAGACGCAGGTTTCCGTCCAACCTATAGCTAGCATTCATGGAAGTGGTATTCTATTGTACCACCCGTAAACATTGAAGCACAGATGAATAAAACTCTAAATAGGTATACATATGTCCACGACACAATCCATATGTTCACCGCTCCTGTATTGTGTCTGAGGCACACCTTCTTTGGATATGGAGGCCAAATACACACACACACACACACACACACACACGCACACTCGAGATCTCCCCAGCATGTAAACAGTGGACATTAAGAGTTGCCAATGAGTAACATAATCACAAACATAGTCACACCTTACTCCACTACAGCCACCATGCTAAGACACCTCGCTCATTTACATGAAGTGTAGTGTACATACATAGATACTGTTGTCATAAGAACTCTATATATACACACTCGTTTCCAATGTACACTTTTGGAAGTTTTTCCAAACCTATTGCAACCTGATCATCCCCAGACCTAATACCTACAATTTATGTACATTCAGGAGGTCATTATAGAGCCAAAGGTGGGCACATGATACTGTCTCAATATGGCATGAGTAACCAGGAAGCACTGTCAGTCTGTCACGTCCATCATTCCATCCACCCACTTCGAGACCAAAATTGGGCACACACGTGGATCATTAACAGAGCGGCAGACAGTGTTAGTACATTAACATCAGAGATATACACCTACGGATATTATGTTTTGCCTGAATTTTTGCTACGCTATACAAATAATCATCGACATCAAAAAGGGAAGAGAAAAAAGCAGATGTACAAACTCGACTAAAGCAAAGTTGTGAACAAACGGAATAATTCACTTGAACTTTATTAAGTATTCTTACACATATTTGACATATTTGGGGGTAAATTACTCTGGCTCGCTCCTATTATTATGCTAAGTTGTGTAATTCCTGTTTCACACAGAGTAATTGGTGTTTGTCTTTACTGTCGTATAGTTAGTGCCCTGCAAGCTGAGTTGCTCTAGTTGTAGCTCAGGTATACGTAGCACCTTGCCTAGACTGCAGAGTATCATAGGTCACCCAGGGCAGCGCTTTTTCCTTAGAATAAATGTTGTCACGTTTGCTTTGCTTTCATACACCATTAAGGAATTGAATATCAACACTCACAGTCCCAGTGTCTGACTTAGTCTCACAGCTCTACCAAATGACTTACATAGTCTCACAGCTCTACCAAACGACTTAGTCTCACAGCTCTACCAAACGACTTACAGTCTCACAGCTCTACCAAATGACTTAGTCTCACAGCTCTACCAAACGACTTACAGTCTCACAGCTGTACCAAATGACTTAGTCTCACAGCTCTACCAAACGACTTAGTCTCACAGCTCTACCAAATGACTTAGTCTCACAGCTCTACCAAATGACTTACATAGTCTCACAGCTCTACCAAACGACTTAGTCTCACAGCTCTACCAAATGACTTAGTCTCACAGCTCTACCAAATGACTTACATAGTCTCACAGCTCTACCAAACGACTTAGTCTTACAGCTCTACCAAATGACTTACATAGTCTCACAGCTCTACCAAACGACTTAGTCTCACAGCTCTACCAAATGACTTAGTCTCATAGCTCTACCAAATGACTTAGTCTCATAGCTCTACCAAACGACTTAGTCTCACAGCTCTACCAAACGACTTAGTCTCACAGCTCTACCGAATGGTAGTCTCACAGCTCTACCGAATGGTAGTTTCACAGCTACTTAGTTTAACAGCTCTACAAAACGACTTACAGCAGCCTTATAAAGCTGTACCAAATCATGGTGCATACTTAGTAAGAAGAAACTAACTACAGAAATCACTCACTCATTGCATTAAAAGAAGGGAGTGGCTGGCTATTATGTTACAAGCAGTATGGTCTCATACCCAACTGTTACACTCATGATGAGGGGAAAGGTACAGCTTATAATGCAAATCCTGGTCCAACGCCATATCCATTGTATCCAACCATCTCTTCTAGTACTATGTGATGCATACGGGCCCACACCTACTAAAAAAAGTGCACTACGGACACATGTGAATGTAGATCGATCGTTGTGTGATCTGATGGGGATCTCGATTTCGAGATCTATATATGTAGGACTAAGAAATGTGTCAATAGTTACCAGAGCCCCTTTCCACGTGATGTGTTGGTGGGGTCTGGGCACGAGATTATAGAAGCAGTACATTATGTATATACAACTTTACACACAAAGTCTATTTGCTACCCTACGAGTCATGCAAGGTGTGTGAAGGTATGGATGGGCAGTCAACAAACAGTGTTGGAGCCAAGTTACCCTCTGATCATGGGCACCAACCTCAGCTGGTGGTGGCTGGCTACCAAATTGCAGTGGAATGTACTGTAGTTACACATACACGAGTTTATGACTGCTGCAACCATCGATTGCATGCCCACAGGAACATCCATTGATGTACTATGTAACTAGTTCTCCTAGAAAGCGTATCAGCTAATGGGTTAGTTTAGTGCTGATGTAAGAGCTTAGCTACCGTTATCTGAGTAACAGCATCATCACCACTGTAACCTTAGAGCTACAAATTCTGATAACACTGAAATTGAAGCGAAACATCACAACGAATTTTACAAGTGAAAAAATAACCCCATTACACGTACACAGCGTCCTATACATACAGCGTGAGTGAACAGCTTCAGTGTTCCGAGTCCCGACAGAGACAATTGAGGCAGAGCGAGTTACACTAGAGTCAAAAACCCGCGATAATAAGCAGACACTTAACAAACAAGGTGTTGTTGGTAGACCCACTACAGAGGTAAGGAAAGGCGATACTCGGCCGTCATTATTGGAGCTTCACTTGAGAGCTAGTACAACAAAGATTCACTCAATGTGTTCCATTAGCACAGCACAGAGATGAGACATAGACAACACAACCACTCAATGACACGTGCAGGAACCATAAGATGTGGTAGGAAACGAAAAGAACAACATCACAGTTGGATTGTAAACGGCGCATACCGCAATGGAGGATCGGTTCGTATTACGTTGTAGCTACAATATTATGTTATAAAACTAAAACTGTACATCTCTCCTCAGATGGCTAAGATCTTTGCTCTGCCATAAAAGTGGGGCCACAATACTGTCTTCATCATGGGTCGCTGCCCATGAAATGTACACACATAACTGGCAGAGGAACAGCAATAGACGACACACACAGACGAAACAGTGAGCTACCAAAGAACATCATAATGGTACCCGATGCCCCAATACATTATCAGCAGACCTAAAGTGAAATCATAGAACCGCCCCAGATGGGGGATGGCACGAAAAACTAACTTTTCCCAACATCTTTGTTCCTACAACTCCTAACGGACTCAAACGCGGAGCTGTTACTACTGAATGGTTCATATAGCATAGGGCTACTTGGTCGGAGCACAGAGGTACTGAGTTCTCTGCGATGCGATCCTCAATACGTGGGGACGAGCTGCCGATGCGATCACGGACATTCTCAATCAACTAGGGACAAACAGAGCCAACCAATCGGTTGGCTACTCACTTTTAATACGATTCCCTCTCACAGGTTTCGTCTCTTTTCTTCTTTCTGCTCCCAACATTCGACGACAACAAGCTACTCCAGTCAGCAGCGGATGATGAAAAAAAATAGGCGTGGTTCGGGACTGATCGCGAGCATGCGCGCTGGGTGGGGGTATTGCGCATGCACGCACGGCGAGTTGATGAGTTTTCGCATCAAACGCACGCGGAGAGCAATTAGCGGTCCTAGTAAAATAGCAAAAGAGCTCCCAAGAGAACAGGATGCATACAACTGTCGAATCGTGATTGCCGTGATGACGATATTCATGTAGCCGAACGTGGTGCAAACTGCCGAGTTGTTCACACTGCTGACAAAGATCAGTTTTGTGCCGCCGTCCGACACTGCTGCTACTACCCATCTCTCGGTCCATTGCTGTGTGATAAAACGTAGCTCCTTCGTCTCCTCCGCAGCTCATCGGTTTGTTTATCCCCGGAAGCCAAGGGACTGCTGAGTCTGTGGTAGGTGTTTAGCTCTCCAGCTAAGTGCATTTACTGCTTATCCTTATGAAAACACTGCAGGAAAGTCGTTTGCACTGGTAAGGACTGCAATGTTCCGCCGGATTGTGTGGCTGCTGGCGTATTTACCAATCGCTTCTCTAGTTACGGCACTCGCTTCTGGCTGCAGCGAGCGCCAGACAAGGTTTCGTCCGACCGCTGATGCCCCGACCTGTGAGCTCGCCGAGCCCGGGAAAGATCTCTGCCCGTTCTCAGACGGATACTGGAACACGTCCTATCCCAACGTCTTCAATCACACCAACCACAAGATGGCCTACCAGTTTCTGAATCGACACAGAAACATATTTCTCCAGGAGCCTTGCTCGGAGCACATGTCCCACTTTCTCTGTTATGCAGTCTTCCCGCTCTGCTCCTCTGGGTTCCACAGAGTGGAGCCATGTCAGGAAATGTGTGTGGCCGTGCGTGAGAACTGCACTCCTGAGCTGGTCAAGAGTGGAATGGAGTGGCCTCCCGAATTGGACTGCAACAAATTCCCACCTCACGGCTCGAGCATGTGTGTGTGGAGCGGGAATACTAACTGCAGGACCGGGACGTCACTACCCGCTGCTGCAGCTGTGGACCCAAGCCATCAACAGATCAAGTCGTCGGTCACAAGAAAATCCCTTGCCAACTGCACTGGCCACCTTGTACCCTATCCCAACCACTCGCACGCCCAATACGGCGGCATCGATAATTGCGACGAGCGTTGTCATGGGGTCTACCTCACCACCCAGGAACAAGACTTTAACACCGTCTGGATAGCGATATGGAGCTTACTCTGCCTCTTGGTGTCCATCGTCACTGTTCTCACCTGGGTCATCAACTACAAGGCAATAAAGAGCCCCGAATCCCTCGTCTACTACATATCCTTGTGCTATTCATTTGTTGCCCTCTCCTACACTATATCCATTGCAATAGGAGAGGAGAGCATAATCTGCGACTCGGCTATTAAAAATTCTCTAAATGAGAGTGCACTGGTTGTGAATGGACTCCATTTCCCTGTCTGCATCGCTCTGTTCAGCATCACATACTTTTTCACTCTGTCGAGCTGGATCTGGTGGGCACTATTGAACATCGAATGGGTCGTCTGTAGCGTAAAGTCTCGCACCATTGGCATCAAATGGAGGATTTGTTCTCAACTTGTCGGTTGGGGCGTGCCTCTATTGTTCCTATTGATTGCTCTTGGAACAGAGTCGGTGGGTGGCAACACCTTTCTCGGGACCTGCTGGATAAGAAAGGACAGGGAAGTCGTCTACGTAATTGCACCCCTTTTGACGGTGGTTGTGTTCAGCTGTGTCGTGATACTCATCGCGTTTACACGTGTCACGAAACTCCAGAGAGTGTTTAAAGACATTGATCTCGATCCCGAAGAAGTTAACCAGATCACGACTCTCATACAAGTCAGCCTATATTGCACAATCTATCTAGTCTCGATGGGGGTCCTAGTCTGCTGCTACTGGTACGAGTACTGCTTCAGAAAACAGTGGGAACACTCGTACATCAACTGCTTGCACAACTCTGACACATGTGCATCTTCGGTAAAACCAAACTTCAGCGTTTTAAAGACGAAGCTCGCAGTCTCACTGATAATGGGGATTATATCTGGAGCTTGGACGTTTAGAAAAAGCTCGACCAGAGCGTGGCGCAAAGTTTGTTGCATCTGCTGCGTGTCGGGAAAACATAGTTCCGACTCAGAACTCCAAACAGTGCGTCAGATACATTTTACGGATGATCCCTTGACTGCAGGATTTTCATTCTCACAGACGTCCGTATGACAGTGATTTTAATGCATCTGTAATACTTCCCTTCTACTATCACAGGTTCCTTTTTAACGTGGGGCGAGATTTTTGTTTTCTTTGTGTGTCTGTTAGTGTTGGTTTGTGTTCGTTTCCTTTATGTATACAAACTGAAAACCCCAACCTCAACCCAGACTTCACCAATACTCCCACAGAAATCACATTTTCCCACCACACACAGATTCTTTCTTTGTACCCACCTGTATTTTCCTCCCCATCCTTATCCTCCTCCTCCTCCTCCTCCTCCTTCTCTCCCTCTGTCTCCTCTTTCTCCCCTTTGAAACTAAAACTACTCCTACTGACCAACATATGGCCACCATCACCTCAATCATCAATCCCCCCTCTGTGTATGCCATTGTATCATATTTCCATCAGCATGTAGGCAATGTATAATGTTATCTCAAATTCTCTTTGAGTTGGTTGGCTCCAAGTGGCCACTGATAATGCACTTGCCAATAGTTAATCCAAGTGGACACACATGTGAGGAATTTTACTCCAGCTGTGTACATTTCACTCAGGTCAAGGATGGAGTTATCATAACTGCTTTTATAGTGGAGAAAGAGAGTGTCTGGTGTTCAGAGCATGTTGTCTTACTCAACACTTCTCTTGTCCTGCTCAACACTACTGTAGTAGACCTAGAAGTGGTTGTTTTTTGAGCAACATAATGAGATTTTTTGTGTACATCATACAAGTCGGAAAATCAAGTACGCCCAGCTTGTCTTGGGTTTGCTTTGATCTGCTTGTAGGAAGCAGCCAAGCATGACTATGCTACAGCTTGCACGTATATAATTTAAAAAAAGGGAGGCTACATTTCCTAATTTCCGGTAGACAGATCCGCGCATGCGTCCCCCCGCAAAATTTCACGAGCAGGCCACTATGATCGTATTGGACGGTCTCCCACTTGAGCTCGTAGCCCTCGTTCTGGAGTACCTCACGTCTGAAGAACTGGTTAGTTGCTTCCAGGTCTGCTCCTCGTGGCGGCGAGTCGTGGGCAGTTTCCGCGGATTGTGGACGCGACGATGCCAGGACTGCGGCGTCCCGGAACACTCCCTCCGCGTGGACGACGACCCCGTCCACGTTTTCCTCTCGGCCAGGAGGCAGAGGAATTATATACGAGCATGCAAACATACAATGTGCCATGATGTACGCATTCGTGTTAGTGACGAAAGGCGGAGTGATGAAGACGGAGGAACTCCGCATCAGGTGGTCTACGCGGGACACGGGGTAGTGGTGGCTGTGATGTTCAGATATCGGCTGAAGGAAAACGAGGTAAAGCAGCAAGAATCTCATACGGCGGAGAGAGGCGCGGCTGGCCTCTCTGGGGCGACAAACTTCACTCCCTACAACGAGCTGAAACAGCGCTACGAGTTCGGCTACCTCCTCATCCAGCGGCTGAAACAGTCTGGCGTCGGTTGCATGGAGAGCTGTCGGGTAGAGCTGGAGGACAAATGGAAGTGGCCAGTCGTGACAAACGCATTTGCAGCAAAAGACGGGAGCTGGGTGATTCTGCGGATCAAGGAGACTTGGATTGAGACCGCCTGGTACAAGATCACCTTGCCTATGCGTGAATCAGCTATTGAGCTGAGCGGTCCAACGTGGAAGACTCCAGATATTGCATCAGAGCACCACCCGACTATTCCGTACAGTAGCAGTTGCTGTACTAGTTGCTCGGCCGTGGCTCTGGTCAAGAACAAGCTGAGCATGAGGCCACCCTGGGAGTTTGGAGTGGACTTCCTCCACCTCTCACGAGACCAGCAGGTGAAGGAACACACTGTTCCCATTCTCAACTATGACCAGATGCGTCTGTCGTCTGACGTCCATGCCAATGTTGTCTTCCAGGCATTTTTCTTTTGCAAGGAGTCTGCGAGCGAATCGGACACGTGCAGATCTCATAAACTGGTGCTGTGGAGGACCAACGACCATGTTATCACTGTCCACACCTACAGCGATAAGGGCGGAGTCTCCAGAGAACCTGACGCAACGTTCTCCCCCGCCCCACAGGGGAAGACCCTCGAATTATCAACTGCCTGGGGGCACACGAAAATGAAGCTCTCTTCCGATTTTCGACTCCTCGGTTTCCTAATAGCCCGTCAATTTCACCTGTGGAACCTGGAAACAAACAGAAAACTTAGTACAATTGATCTGGAGGGCATTCCAGGTCTTCGCACCAGGATGATGGCTCTTGGTCACGTGTACTCTCTGTTTGGGACACTTCACGAGGGAGGAGAGATGGTCCTGGTGGCAACTAGGACTGGGGACGTGGTGTGGAGGTGCCAGTCTTTCCTTGGGGAGGGAGAGAGGTTACGAGAGGGACCGATGGAGCCGTGTGGGGTGGCTCACGAGGAGTGGATGAGTGACGTACAGAGATCACCTCCGATGGACACGCCTTTTCTCCTGTTCTCACCCATGAACACCCCCACCTACATCTCTGGACTAGCATTGACCATTTGATGCATGCTGGATAAAGAATTACATAATAATTTTTCAGAAATAATTATTATGCCAGAGGAGCATGCATGCAGATTGCTAGCCACACAAGGGCTATATATGGTGGTATATAGCCTGTACAAATCTCAATGCAGTCTTGCCTTGCAATGTATACATGCGCTGAAACCAGCAGTCCACTTTGGTACGCTTAAGGCCCTGTGAAGCACAACCGGCATAACACGGTTAGCTAGCACAGCCCCACCCTTTTTGTTAGTGCGTGTTTCGGGTCACAAGCTCGATGACATACAGTCATGGATTACGGATTAAATTCTCACCCGCATCCAAAGGCAGGTAGAAGAACTCTATGGAACCTCCATAATTATTATTAATCACACACCTCAGTTCACCATGTGGAAGCTGAGTTTCATGTTAAGGGTGGATGTGTTTGAGGTCACATCGACCAGTAAAAGTATGCAGTTACACTATCACCTCAATGAATTCAGTGTTCCCACAGAGGTGTTGATGGAAGCAGGATAGATTGGAAAGTCATAAACTACTAGTGTATCCATAACGTCATGAAGAAATCAACAATAAATGGCAGCTAGTTGATTATTCACAACCTGGTGTAGCTATGCAGAGAACTGCAGATTACTTTATGCCGTTTTTCAGTTTCATGAGGCTTTTTTGTTGAGATTAGCTACCCGTGAAATGATTAATGGAATGGGATTATGTGAGGCTGGAGGTATATAGCTAGAATGGGAGGAGAAGGTGGAGGGATTGAGAGTTGAAGTTGAAGGTGGTGGAATTTCACAAACATCTCTCATACGGATCTCAAATAGGGCCTTCTTATCCACCTTGGACAATGAGTTGTCAATTTTGAGCAAAAGACTATATACAAAGACTCAATGAACATGCTCAATAAAAAAATACTTCTTAAGTTTTTTATTTTATGTTTGCTATCCATACTAATGGGGTTTGTCCTTTTCGACAAGAATAAGGGACTCCTTGAAAACATCAGGCTTTTCCTTTATTTACAGGTGTCCCTTACTCAGAGGTTCTATCTTTTAGTCTGGTCCCATAACAACCGAACTATCCATCCGAAGCCCGTACGCGTTTGCGGTAGCTTACTCAGGTTCTGTAATACATTAAATATAGGGGCTGAACAAAGTGTCCTGTGTAGAGAAGTGTCCTCTATTCAGTGGTTCTGTAATACACTAATATTAAATATAGGGACTGAACAAAGTGTCCTGTGTAAAGAAGTGTCCTCTATTCAGTGGTTCTGTAATACACTAATATTAAATATAGGGGCTGAACAAAGTGTCCTGTGTAAAGAAGTGTCCTCTATTCAGTGGTTCTGTAATACACTAATATTATATATGGGGCAGAACAAAGTGTCCTTTGTAGGGAGGTGTCCTTTTTTCGCAGGGTCCTTTTCAGAAGTTTCACTGTTTGAGTCAAGTGTAGAACAATTGTGCGTGGGCGTATGTTTCAGATATTTTTTCAATGGCACAGCAAAAACGCTGGTGATTTATGGTGAATTTAGGTATATTTGTCGGATTTTTGTTTTCCAAACTCATTAGCATATTCATATTCATCCTCCATATGGGAGAGAAAACCCGTGCGCGACTCACCCAGTCCATTATGCGCAATGGCGTTCCCTGCGGCACACGCAGGCGTATTAGAGCCATCCCGAAATATAGGCGTGGCCAAGTTTTGAGCATTACGTTTTCACGTTGACCTTTGCCACCCGGTCACGCCAATTTTACTATAGCGCGTACCGAAGCAAAGCCACTGACCATAATGGAGACGGACCGTTCGCTCCTGGGTGAGTCGCGCACGAGTTTTCTCTCCCATAGAGAATGTATGCAGGAGGAATATGAATAATATGCTAATACGTTTGGAAAACAAGGTAGGAAAAATCAGAGAAATAGTAACTATAAATCACGAGCGTTTTAGCTGTGCTATATATATATTGAAAAAATATCTGAAACATACGCCCACGCACAATCGTTGCGAACCTAAGTGCTCTTCTTTCTACTATATGCTGTGTGTAGGCATATGCTAATACAAGTCAGTCAAACAGTGTATGAATGTATGTTGATAGAGGCAGTAGTGTGCTGAAGGCCAACATCGATGGTCTGAAGAAGAGAGATAAGAAGACAGGAGGAGGGAAGGGAGGGAGTGAGACTGGCCCAAAACAAAAGAGAAAAGCATCTACGCAGTGACTTTCAAGTTGACTTTCTTTGTTCCAGTGCTCATTTTCATTTTCAACCTAATGCACAATACTGTAAGAGGGGCCCGCCCGGTGATACGTTCCGCCACCAATTTCTCTAAACTCCGTCTGCTGTGCAGATGTGTGCCTTTCGCAGGCGTCACGCTGGCGCACGCGCAATAGAGCAATTTGGGTCAATTTGGGTAGGGTCTAAAAACATGGCTGAAGAGTTTCTCCGCGATCATCCGGGACTGAGGCCCTTCGTTCTCTCCGACGTCCAGCGCACTGGAACCGAAATCGGCGGTGGGGCTTACGGCAAAGTGGAGGAGGTGGTCGTTTCTGTGGGCGCCGCCGCCAAAACAATCTACGCCTTCTTGCGAGATGCCAAGGCCGGGACCGAGTTCGTGAGGGAATGTCAGCTTATGAGTACCCTCCGCCACCCGAACATCGTCCAGTTTCTGGGCGTCGCTTTCTTTCCCGGCTCGCGACTGCCAGCCCTGGTCATGGAACAACTGCTGACGAATCTTCACGACTTGCTGGCTCCGGACCTGCCCCCTCCGTCCGGCGCCATCACACCGCTATCTTTCTTCTCCATGGCTCTCAAGTGCTCCATACTTCACAACGTAGCTTGTGGCCTAGCCTACCTCCACGAGCGATCGCCACCCGTCATCCACCGCGACTTGTCGGCCAGAAACCTTCTCCTGGACTCGGATATGGTGGCCAAGATAGCCGACCTGGGCGTGGCTCGTATCATTCCTCATGTGAGAGCTGCAGCCACCATGACAAAGGGACCTGGGGCCTTAGTCTACATGCCTCCAGAGGTCTTTGCCGAAAAGTCGAAATACGATGCCAGCATCGATGTCTTCTCTCTTGGAGTGGTCACCATTTTCACAATCGGTCAAGTTTTCCCCTGTGATCCTCAAGAACCCAACTATCTCAATGATGGGACTGGGTTGCTAGTAGCTCGCACTGAACTGCAACGACGAAGCCAATATATGCGATACGTGAACGAGCAACTCCGTGCCTGTGGTCAGCTCCGTGGGGACCACCCTCTCATTCGGCTGATCCAGCAATGCCTGCACAATGGCCCTCACAAACGCCCGAGTATTCGTGAGGTACTGCATCTGTTGGAGGAGGCCAGAGCTGGTGTTAGAGATGAAGGGAGTGAGAGGAACAAACGTGAACTGGTACGAGCTCTTCAGACCCAGCCCAGGAACCAGGTGAGGGACTGTACACTCATTAGGTATGAGTTGACGTGTTGAAAAAAACTCTTGTGATTCTACTAGAATTTGGAGCGTTTTCTCCGAGACCTGGTGACGGAGAATGCTCATCTCCAGTCCCGTGTGCAGGCCAAAGAAAGGGAGATTGCTCGGAAGGTATAGAGCACGCTTAGCAGACTTAGGGAATATAATATTATTTTAATGTTGACTGTTGTAGGATGAGGAAAGTGAGAGGGAGAAGCAAGCGCTCAGACAAGAGCTGACAAGAAAGGAAGCAGAGCTGACGAGAAAGGAGGCAGAGGTGGCGAGGGCAGAGGAGACTATCAGGAGAGAGCAGCAGCAGATTCAGGAGATGAGACAGAGAGTTAGTGTAGTGTGTGGAGTCGTGTGTTGTGACTAGAGGTCCTCCTGACTGCAGGAGACTGAGTTAGTGCAGGCCAAGGACAAGGAGATAGCTCTGCTTCAGCAGCAACTGCGGGGAAAGGTAAGCTATGAATAGACAGTCCGACTGAGGCCACTCGTGTGCGTGCTCTATATACTGACTGCGCGCGAAGCCAGACTTCCTACGAATCTGCGCGCACGGCGGAAATTGACATTCCTAAGCGCGACTAATTTACATTCCCTAAGCGTGACTAATTGGCATTCTTAAGCGTGACGGACACGTACGTACGTACGTATATCGCGAGAATACAACCCGGAATAACAGACTATGAATATCTTTAGTAATGTGGATTATAATTTATGTAGCTGTACTAGTAGTATACTCTTATTCATGACCACCATACTAGTGGCAATGTTGAACATTGTTGGCGAGCGGGAGCGACCCAACTTGGGATTTGACCGCGATGTTCGGGCTGCATAACGTGCCGTCAGCGCACAGCTATCTTTTCATGAAGACAGATCTACCTGTCGCCGTTACATGCGTATTGTATATTGCCAGAACAGTGAGCAGGTGAGCAGAACGGTACTTACCTTGACGCTTTCAGCTCGTCAGTCGTGGTCCACCTGGCAACTGGCATGCAGCAGTATGTGCACGAGCAATCCTAGCGTATGATGCAAGTTGCACCTTGGAACCATGAAGATTGGGAAGAGGTACAGCTTCGGTCAGTCACCGAAGGTTCGAGCGCATTCCGTCGATCGAATGGAGGAGAGTTGAAATAATTTCGGATAAAAAGAAGCGCGTACAAAGACGCGCATGCGCACTTACACGACGTACGAACATGTATATATTATTATATATACACAGAAAATTCCGCTCGAACGAACGACTATTCCCCATTTCTCCCTTTTATTTTTCTCTCTCCCTTTCTCACTGTCCCTGCAGTCAGCGTCCTACACATGTCGGGTCAGTGGACCTGGTCTAACATCAGACAGTCAACCAACCAACACACGTCCTAGTCCAACTAACTGACTCTAGTGGTAGACCATACTCACTTCCACTGAATGTCACCGCACAACTTGAGCTCGTTTTAAAAGCCACACCCAGAAATCAACCTGAAGCCACACCCACCAGTCTCACTGTAGCCACACCCACTAATAGATGGCCGCAGTCTAGAGAACCTCCCTCCCAATACGAGGTGTCGTACACACCAGTCAGTCGAGGCCAACACAAACTCCGCGTTCAAGTCAACGACAGAGAAATAAATGGCAGCCCCTTCACTGTGACCATGTACCCTGACCCCAGACAACTAGGCCACCCAGTGAGGACTGTGACTGGTGGATTGAATTATCCACATGGAATTGCCTTCAACAGTCATCAGGAGATGATTGTCAGTGAATGTGGGGGTCATAGAGTGCCTATCTTTGACATCAGAGGACAGAAAATTCGAACACTTGGATCATATGGTGATAGACCAGATCAGATGATATACCCTGCAAGCATGGCAACTGATGATACTGACAATATTTATGTGAGCAGTGATCACAAGCTGCAGAAGTTCACTAGCAGTGGTGAACTGATCAAATGTATTGGTCGTTGGGGCAGTAAGGAGGGGGAGTTTGATGCTCCACATGGAGTAACACTGTATGACAATCAAGTGTATGTGTGTGATCGCAATAACCATCGTATTCAGGTGTTTGACCTCAACTTGAACTTTGTCCGATCCATTGGCTCACGTGGCAAAGGAAGAGGTGAATTCAATGCACCACTTGATGTCAAATTTGACACTGCCGGGAACATGTATGTAGCTGACTGGGGTAATGGGAGAGTGCAAGTAATGGACACCAGTGGCCAATTGATACAAGTATTTGGTCAGGAAGGAGAGGGAAAACTGCATCGGCCATCAGGTCTTCATATTGCTGACAAGTATGTGTATGTGTCTGATTTGATTGGTAATTGTATTGTAGTGTATGAGACCTCAGGTCAGTTTGTCACCTCATTTGGAAGGTGTGGTCAGAAAGAGGGAGAGTTTCGTAGACCATTCTGTATCACCTCTTGTGCTGATGGTTTTATACATGTATGTGACCATGATAACAACAGAATTCAGATATTCTAGAACACCCAATGCTACTGTATTGTCTAACAATATACCAAAGAGAAAAAAGATGCAGAGCTCTGGACAGCTGTTTCGGGCTTGTTGGCCCTCATCAGCACAACTTCTCTCTCGCACCACGAGCTTATAAAGGCTAAGTTGAGCGCAGCACTTGAGGTTTTGAACTAATGAGATTCATCCCCACAAGGCTTTTCTCAGGCACAGCGCTTGTGGTTCTGAGCATCCCCACAAGGCTTTGCGAGTACCGAACCAAAACCCGAATTCAAAAATGGATTGGGCCGCGGCAATGAAGCCTAGCAAGACTTCGGAGAGTTTTTGTAGTAGGCATTGCGAGACCGTTTCGTTTGCAGGGTGGGGAGTGAAGCAACTCAAAATAAGCTACTGACGGAGGCCAATCTGACTATATTATATGAAGCGAGCACTGGGGGTCGCACAGAGCATTGAGTCTGCGGACAATAGCGCAAGAGTCCTCAAGTTTTGAGGGTCCGATTCGTCCTTTCGTCCAATTGAAGACGTACATAAGACCTCGCGAGCGACACCGCCCGAGGATAGCGCAAAGCCAAAGCGCTACAGTCACTGTGGCAGACGGCATGACGCCAGCACCTGCAAGCTCAAAGACGCCCGTCACCACAGGTGCAGCAAGGTGGGGCACATCCACCCATATGTACAGAGCGAAATGAAATATTTGACGACAGAAATGCAGCTTATAACCTTTCCGTCTAAGGTTAGCAACGCTTGTGCGTGGGCGTACGTATCATATTTTTTTCAATGGCACAGCAAAAACGCTGGTGATTTATGGTGAATTTAGGTATATTTCTCGGATTTTTCCTACCTTGCTTTCCAAACTCATTAGCATATTCATATTCCTCCTCAATACATTCTCTATGGGAGAGAAAACCCGTGCGCGACTCCGAACGGTCCGTCTCCATTATGCGAAATGGCGTTCTTTCTGCCTCCTGTCGCACGCGCAGAGCCATCCCGAAAAAACCTTTGCCACCCGGTCACGCCCGTTTTTTCTATAGCGCAAAATTAGCTTCCCGCGTATAATATACCGAAGCAGGCAAAGAAAGCCACTGCGCATAATGGAGACGGACCGTTCGCTCCTGGGGGTGAGTCGCGCACGGGTTTTCTCTCCCATAGAAAATGTATCGAGGATTAATATGAATATGCTAATGAGTTTCGAAAACAAGGTAGGAAAAATCCGAGAAATATACCTAAATTCATCATAAATCACCAGTGTTTTTGCTGTGCCATTGAAAAAAATATCTGAAACATACGCCCACGCACAATCGTTGCTAATCCTAATTCTCCCGCATAAATCCCGATTCATCAGCTTGAAAGAAGCTTACATGATCAAGAGCCCCAGGTTTCCACCCTAGTTCAACCGTTCTCGGGAGGATCACTGCAGCTACCTCTTCTGCCGAGCAGATCTGGCGCACCTTACCGACGCGCCATAACCGTGCCCTTATTTTTACCCTCGGCGCGCATGCGCAGCGAGGGTACTGTAGTTGGTGCGTCTACATCTGACTTCTGTTCGTCTCACAGACGATACGACCTACTCAACGGGCAACAAAGGTCAGAAAATATGTGGGGTTTTCTCTGAAAATGCTCCGTTGCAAAGCTAGAGCGCTTCAAGCATTGTACGGCTAATGCGTAGTCGGCCGCTGCGGAAAATGTGCATTCGCTTATATTTAGCACAGGCTTACCTCGACCGGGTCCGTTTGCTCTGTGTATCTTGAAGGCACAAGAAGTCACAACGAATGGCTCTCGCATGCTATCTACTACTGTAACTAGCCCTTGTCAGACTCTCTGCAAGCTACTAGCGGGAGACCACAGTAAACGCTAGCGGTACCGCGCATGCGCAGTTCGCCGAGGGTTTGCACTTCTGTCTGTGTGTGTGTGTCTGTTACGCCTCATCTCACTTCTCGAGTGTTCGTTCGTCTCACAAACGATACGACCTACCCAACGGGCAATGAAGGTCAGAAATTATGAGCGGTTTTCTCTGAATAATACTCCGTTGCAGAGCTACAGCGCTTCCAGCATTGTACGGCTATTTATCGCTGCGGAAAATGCGCATGCGGTTATATGCTAATTAGCACAAGCTTACCTCGACCGGGCCGCTTGCTCTGTGTATTTTGAAGGCATAAGAAGTCACAACGAAGGGCGTGTATCGACTCCCGCATGTCCGTGTCAGACTCTCCGCGAGCTACTAGCGTGGATACCACGAGTAAACGCCCAGCCAATCAATTAGTGGTACCGCGCGTGCGCAGTTCGCCGAGGGTTTGCACTTTATTGCAAAGTTATATGAGACAAAGATATAGGGATGGTGTCATGTGGCTTTGTGCATATTTGGTGTGTACACCCCTTGTTACTTCCTTTTTGGTGCCAAGCCATCCCTATATCCCCCTTCATTTTGAAGAAATGATTTTTCCACTTGTAGCATCATCGTTGAGTATTAGAACACTGCCAGTGGAGGAAGCTAGAGTGATCCTGCTGTCAAGACCAGGTGATCTCTCCAGAATGAGTGAGAAGGACTCATCAGGTTCAGGTATATATGGAGTCATCAGTGATAGCAATGGTGACACATTGCAGTGTGAAACAAGGTGGAAAACTTAAAGTGGCCATGACGGCAGAGTAATCAGTTACAGAATCTAAAGATGGGGAAGTAACATGTATATATAGCTAGCTTTTTAGTAATGATTTTCCAGTCTAGCTGGCACTTGAAAAATGTGCAGGGATATTTATATTACAAGAAAAAGCAGTATGTAACCGTTTCCTGCCGATTTGATAGTTGGTTACTAAAATATCACAATTTTCAAAGTTTTCCCCACTGACAAGTGGTAAATGTCACTCTGAATAATGATAAAACTTACCTGCATCATCATCATTAGTATAGAGACTGACAACAAAGGTGGAAGCACTGCTGGGACTTACAACACACACTTGGACACTTCCTCCTGATTCAGTCACTCGGTACAGTGTCTCTTCAAGTGCGACAGTAGCAACTAAGAAACCACATTATTAGGGCACCAATGTTTGGGTTAATGTGTTAAGAGACCAACCGTTACTATCAGTAATGATAGTTTCAGCAGTTGATGTAATGTTTGGCACAGAAGCCATCGCTATTTCCACTGCAAAATTTTCATTTTCTTCCAACACAATGTCATCATTCATAATGGTGATATTAATGCAGCGGTCTTTTGCTCCAGGGAGTATGTAAGTATTGTGTTTCCCACTGACAAAATCCACACCTAATATGAAATATGCATGTAATATTGTAGCCATGATGTCTAAACATACCAGCTGTCGCACTTCCCATATCTCTAGCATTAACTGTGAACTCCAGAACAAAATTGTAAGGAATGTTTAGAATTACACACACTTCAACAGATCCTGTACTCTCTGCTGCGACATAATTATGTCTCCGAAGAAAAAGATACGTTGGAACTGTTGGAAATGGCCAATAAAAGTTTGTTACAGTGTTTGCTAATACAAATGCACTCACAACACACTCTGGTTCATTCACATCAGTGAAGCTAGTATATAGCTCACGGAGAGTCTGACACTAGCTACAGTAGTGGATAGCATGCAGGAGTCAATACATGCCCTTCGTTGTGACTTCTTGTGCCTTCAGCAAGCAGACCCGGTCGAGGTAAGCCTGTGCTAATTTGCATATTGACTTGTTCACTTGTTTTTCACGCCATAACTTTTGAACGCAGCAGTTATACGAAAATCGCCTTCTAATTAAGCCAGTGTAGCGATGAACCCGTTGGTATCACTCTTTTGTTCTCGTTGCACGTAGTCGCAGAAAACGTGGTAACAGACAGACAGACAGACGGTACCGTAACCCATGCATGCCGAGGGTTAATAAACACACAATGAGGAAAACCAGTTGCTCACTATCAAGAGTCTCAATATTCTGAGATTGGCTGTAGACTCCAGTACCACCACTGGTCCTTGCTGCCACTTCAACTGCGTAGACTGTCTGTTTAGTCAGTCTACTGAGTCTGATCATTCCTCCACTGGAGTCTCCAGAGAGAAACCAGAGTGTCTGGTCACCTCCCTCCTCCCAATACCTCACTGTGTAGCCTGTAATCTCTCCATTCCACTGCCTGCAGTTCTCTGGCCTCCCCCTATGGACATCAATACTAGTGGAACTATTCACTGACAACCTCACAGAAGAGGGAGGGGCAAACAGAGCTGTGAGTGTGAAGGGCTCACAATGAGGTCAAGTAGACTGAGAGATAGACTAACCAGCAGTTCTTGTGGTGCCTGTGACAGTATCTTGTTCAGTCCTTCCTCCAGTCAGAGTGGCAGTGACAGTGATAGAATACTCAGTTCCCTCCTCAGTGCAGTCAGTGCATATGACGTCCCACTAGTAGTTATACCACTTCTGGAGTCAGCGAAACAGTCAGTGTTGGTGTTGGAGTAGGAGATGGTGCAGCCAGTAGCTGTCAAAGTCTCCTCCAGTGTCCATGAGATGGTCAGACATGTAGTGGATGAGGAGATAACTTGTGTACTAAGTCCATCTGTTGAGAAAAGTTTAGGCTAAGGCTGAGAAAACCTGTGCCTATACACACTGGCATACAAAACAGGTGTATAAAGCCAGAAGTTTTTTTGTGTAGGTAATGGATGTTGTCTACACAGCTTAGTGGGTATGACTTCATGTCTCAGCAGTTATTAGACCCTTAGGAATGGCTTTTCCCCTACACTGTCAAAACTTTCTCTCCCATTGCTGAGTCGAGACTCAGTCACAATACCACACATAAAACTTCGCCTTATTTCGTCATCCCCAAACTTACCACTAGTCCTGACAGAGATACCAAAGCTGTATGGACCAGAACCAACACCATTCACTGCTGCCACTTGGACAGTGTACCGGGTTGATGGAGAAAATCCAGAGATTTTAGCCTGTCTAGCATCACCACTGACACTAGCAGTTTCTTCTACTATTCCATTTCTCACAGCCTGCGCTCTGTAACCAGTTATCTCTCCATTACGGTCAAGACAAGGTACCTCTCCCCACTGGGCAGTAATAGCTACTACTGGCTGTGACTGTACCAATTCTGACTGAGCTGGGACCTTTGTAGGATGTGTGTATTACAACAAGTGGAAAAATCATTTCTTCAAAATGAAAGGGGGATATAGGGATGGCTTGAAGCACCAAAAAGGAAGAAACAAGGGGTCATTACACAGCAAAGATGCACAAAGCTACATGACACCATCCCTATATCTTTGTCTCATATTAAACTTTACTTCAAGGTAAACTGTTGCAGAGTGGAAATGACGGAGACGGCAAGCGCGGCTCTTTCCCAATTAGGGAGGAAAATGTCAGCAGGGCGAGATTGGTTGTGAACAATAACACAAAGATATAGGGATGGTGTCATGTAGCTTTGTGCATCTTTGCTGTGTAATGACCCCTTGTTTCTTCCTTTTTGGTGCTTCAAGCCATCCCTATATCCCCCTTTCATTTTGAAGAAATGATTTTTCCACTTGTTTCCACTATTTTTCACGCCTTATGACAACACTGCCTTTTCAGTCACTCTGATGTTCATGGGTGTTGTAGAGATAACTGTTGAAAGCAGAAGCTAATGGGCTGCTCCTACCTGAAGCAGGGTGTATGTGTAGTGTCTCCAACAAGGATGCAATTAGATTGTGGCACATATGGTGGGGTGGTTTCATAGGCAGGCTTCAGTAATCAGACTACAATGATAGCTATAACCTGGGGGACAAAGAATGAAGGCGCCTGGCAAGGCACGCGTAACACGGCGCAGATTGCCTCGTGCAAATCAACAGCAAAACGCAAGCTAGCCACTTACAAATGTGCACACTGACTTACAGAAGGCACCGAAGGATGAGAGTAGTTTTCTCTGAAGGCATCCAGTCCTGGCTTAGTCTCGTTAATTCGTGGACCAGGTTTACGAGACAAAATGCGCGCGCGCCGCATTGGAAACGCCCTCCTCGGCGCATGCGGCTCACTGATGCTGAGTTAGCAACAAATGCCGTTGTTCAGTGACTACCGAGGAAGAGCTCAACGATCTACCGTAGTGACTTGCGGCAAGAAAGAAACGATCGCTTGATATGCATGCACACCTCCGGCAAATTCGGAGACGTTCTGTGAAAAAATCAACGCTTCAAGTGCTTCCGGTAAGGAGCTAGCGGGTCTGAAGAAGAAGAAGAAGAAGAAGAAGAAGAAGAAGAAGAAGAAGATGAAGAATATGATGATGACACGAAAATCGTGAAATCGCGTATGAGCGAATTCTCGCGTGGACGACTGAAGGTGCGTATGAGGTCTTGGGGGACATGTATAGGTAGATATGGGCCCGTAGACTATTGCTAGTATGTTTTGAAGGCCTAGGGAGTGATTCTCACCGAGATTTTAGTCGTTTTGTATGCGGATCACGTGAGATTTCACCCGTGTCGTCCCTATATAGAGAGTCTACCGATCTGATGAATAACAGGGATAAGTATACAATATTGACTGAGCCTCTTACTTGTCTCCATAGTTGTTGTAGTTACAGCATTACTGACTGCAGCACTGCCAGCTGCATTGAAGACTGTCACAGTAATGGTATACCTATTCCCTGGTTCTAGTCCAGTTATTCTGTATGAACCACTAAAACCTTGATTTACAGTAAAACTTCGATGATTCCTATTGGAACATCCATCTGTCTCTCTGCCAATGGACTACTTTACAACAAATGGGAATAAGGTATACCTAATGTGATGCTAGCTGATGCAGATGATAGCTTTGCATCATGTGTATGCTCCAAAAGCAGTCACAGTCAGAGTGTGGGTGTACTGTGCAGTCACTCCATCATTCAACACAGTCTGGGTTCCTTGGGTGACAGTGGTGGAGTCTCTGGTCCAAGTGACAGTGGTGGCAGGTCCACCCGTAGAGATACATGTGAGGGTCAGCTGGTCAGAATCAAATGTCACTCCTCCTGATATTGAGATGCTCCCTCCTGTTTTTAGAGAGAAAGAGATTTAGCTACCACACTATAAAAAGATCATGCGAGATATTTAAACATCTTTTAATACTAGAACTGGTCTCCTCATCAATTCCTGCTGCACTTAGCTACAATTTACCTGCACTAGTGTACAGTCCCACATAGACTATGGCTCTCACTGAGATGTCTGTATATAGCATCATTGACAGCATTTTGTTGGAATCTCACAATGATATATACCAGTTGGTGAAGTGGAACAATCATTGCAACGAAGGTCCACTCTCTTGCTTCTCCAAGACTCATAAAACATACCAGGCTCTCCACCACTATTCATCATAGAGTCACTATTAAGTAAATACCATTTCCACGATAAGTATCATCTTGCATGTCTCCAGGTCTCAGTGTGACACTGAGTACTGTTGCTATAACTAATTCCAACCATTCCGAGGTCTACATATTATATAGCCATGGTTGGGTATAGCATCATCATTCCCAAACTAAAAGACGAGGAAAAGTCTGACAGCAAACCTGCAAACTACAGAGGAAACTCGACGCAAGCACAGATCTCAGCGGTGCCACGCGAATTACCAAACACTTGTTTCCGCTTCCGGGGGGCGCGCGGAGTACGGCGCGCATCGATCAATTCAAGAGTGAGCTACAGAAAACTATGTGACAAGTTCAGTCAAAATTCATGCCATGACACACAAATGTAGTTACATATCTCCAGGAATGACATCA